CATGTTATATCACTTAAATAACTTCTCTGTGATGCTATACTGATATTTGAACCAAATTCTATAATTTACATAATTGTTTGATACATAACATCCCATGTATCACCACTACCCAAGATTTCTGTCATGCGTGATCAAACCCGTGTTTCACAAGCAAAAGTAAATTCCTTTTAGGCACTCGGCAGCAGTGTAGAAACAAGGTCCTGCACCCTCAATGGTCCTGGAAATAAAATGCAAGTACAGTTAAAAGATAAATCATCTTGTGCTCCGTCTCCATAAATATATGTGGAAGCTCACCACATCCCTATTCGTATATTCGTTTCCTCTTCAAAAGGGTTGGAACTAATAAAAGAGACCCAATGAAGAAAAGGAAGGCCAAGGTCTTGACATCATATAGATCTTTGACTGATTTCAGATCTCCAAGAGCTAGTCCAGCCTGAAACAAAAGCAGTGGCAACATAAACAGTATTGCAGGGATGAACATGTCTGACTCTAATTCTGCCTTCTGTAATACCAACATCCAGAAAGAAGAAAAAAAATACTAAAAACCTTGAGAATGAAATGTAAGGGTCTTACCTTTACTGTAATGTAGGAGGCCGGAATAAGACCAATAATAGTAGCCAGAAAGAAAATAAGAAATGGTACATCCACAATAGGTGATGCCAGATTGATAAAAAGGTTTGGTAACGTTGGGGTAACTCTCAAAAAGAGCATGTAATTGAGCAACTTCTCTCTCCGCTTTGCTATCTGAAACAGCAGAAGTGCTAAAGATAAGACGTCCATCTATGAATGAAGCAACCTGCAGTTTTAAAATATTACAAAATGAGAAAGAAAAGTAGAATAGATGAAGGTACCTCAGCCTGAAAAAATCTCAATCTCTCAGGCCACAACCAGTTAACGATAGGCTTGCCAATAAGTTTAGATAGAAAGAAGCAGCACGATGCGCCAGCTGTGGCATTAAAAACAACCAAGAAAATGCCTTTGACACCAAAGAGTGCTCCAGCTAGTAAGGACATGAAAATTGTCCCAGGAATCATAAACGTCTGCATGAATATGTACATTGAGCAGTAACCTAGAATGAACTTCGCTGGGTAAACTTGAGCATATTTAGCAAGACGATCTCTGGAGCAAAAATTAAAAAACACTCAGGAAACCATGGACAAATTTCAGCAACAGTCTAATTTGTTAAATGAACAGAAAGATTCGTAAGATAACTAAAACCATTGTTGAATTTAGCTTACAGACTATCAAAAAGACAAAGACAAAAANAAACAAAAAAAAAAAAAAAGACAAAGAAAAAAAAAAAAAAAAAAAACTTGGATCCAGTCATTTAAAGATATAAATGATAAGAATAAACTATAAAATCTATTATATTGTGGCAACTTATGGGCTGTTCCTTAAAACCACACAAGTAAATATTTTCAATAATCTGGAAGAACCAAGTAAATCAATCAAGGGCCAAAGAGATTAGCAGCCGCTATACCTTGCTAACCACTAAAACCATAACTTTACTATATTGAAGGAGACTAACAACTTCACTGTGGCTAAGAAGAAGAAAACTACTGGCCGAGGGGCAAGGTCTAGCGAGTCCATGAATATATACAAATCTTATGATGTACTTCTCTTTCTTTAACAAACCAAAAGGCAAAGAAATTATGAAAATTTACTAGCTCTCATCCCGTCCGGCCATATATCTAATTCAATCGCTTCAAACTTACAAAAAACTAGTAAATTAGTTCAATTCAAAGTAGATCCATGGTTAGTGGTTACCTGATTGTACTAGTACCAGTTTACTAAGGCTTGTATAAAAAACACTCAGGAAACCATGGACAAATTTCAGCAACAGTCTAACTTGTTAAATGAACAGAAAGATTTAAAAATATAAATGATAAGAATAAACTATAAAATCTATTATATTGTGGCAACTTTCTTTTTTTTTTTTTTATAATCGTGGGTGTCCGGGCCAGCTTGTGCGCACCTCGACTAATCTCATAAGAACCTGAAGTTTACGGTCAAGTACTCACCTCAATGGCATCGAGGGAATTCGAACTGGTAACCATTGGAAAGTAAACCCAAGGATTAATCAATTGAGCAACCCCTCAAGGTTATTATATTGTGGCAACTTATGGGCTGTTCCTTAAAAACCACTCGAGCAAATATTTTCAATAATATGGAAGAACCAAGTAAATCTATCAAGGGCCAAAGAGATTAGCAGACGCTATACCTTGCTAACCACTACAACCATAACTTTACCATATTGAAGGAGACTAACAACTTCGCTGTGGCCAAGAAGTAGAAAACTACTGGCCGAGGGGAAAGGTCTAGCGAGTCCTTGAATATATACAAATCTTATGATGTACTTCTCTTTCTTTAACAAACCAAAAGGCAAAGAAATTATGAAAGTTTACTAGCTCTCATCCCGTGCGGCCATATATCTAATTCAATCGCTTCAAGCTTACAAAAAACTAGTAAATTAGGTCAATTCAAAGTACCTTATCTATGAGAGTAGATACATGGTTAGTGGTTACCTGATTGTACTAGTACCATTTTACTAAGGCTTGTATAAATAACAATGCAGTAAAAATTATAACAGGATCAACAATTCCAGCAAGAATCATCATTCCGTAATAAAAAAATATTAAGCCTCCAAAAATTCAAAATATGCAATACAGTATAATTATTCCAAATGATGGTAGGGAAAAAACCTTACTTGAGCAAGCGAAGGTCGGCGAGGTTGCGAGGCAGCTTGAGCATCCCATATTCCGCAGCTGGCATGGTGAGGTAAATACACAACAATCCGGTCGAAAACACCAAAAACACCCCTAACGCCGCCGCGAAATCCCACCGTGAAATCGGAAACTTTTCTGCCTTGACCTTCTTCCCTGTAGGAGACTCCGCATTCTTCTCCTCATCCTTATCCAACAGTCGCCCTCCAGTTTCCACCACCAAACCCCGGGGCGCCACCATTGACAATGTTGATGAAGATGATGCGGAAGACGACAACGATTCCAAGAAATTGTTCGGGAGCGATGAGCACCGCAGGATTTTAACATTCATTGTAGCAATCACAAAAAAAATTGATCTGGGGTTGGTTCATAAACATTGATGCATTAAAAGTCAAACGCATTAAATGGTCATGAAAAATTTCTTCAAGAATTTATGTAATGACTGAAAATAGGGGGAAATTCTTAGCTGTTCATTTCACGAGAATCAAGAATGGATATGACATATATAGATATAGATAGGGGTGGACATAAAACCCCAGAAATGGAGAATCGCAGATGGATTGGAAGTAATTTGGAAACTTTGTGTGTGTGTGTGTGTGTTATGACTTATGTGCGTGTAAAGAAGGAGTCAATGGTGAGGCGTAAAAGGCATTGCGTGAATAAGAGAGGAAGATGGGAACACAATACGCGTTTTTCAAGGAAAGAAGAAAATATTGTCTTGTATAGATAGCACATCCGGATCTCATGTCAAATGACTTTGTTGCCCTCGTATTCACTAGGGTTGGCAACGGCCCGGCAAAAAATAAGAGTCGAGAAGAGATCTGGAATAAGGACAGACCATGCTCCTTGTTCCTGTCCCGACGAAGTGACTCGGGGCAAAACGGGATATTTTTCCATCTAGTAGATTGTTTACCAGGAAAATTTCGTGAAACATTTAAAAATTACTTTTTTGTTTCAATTTGAACATTGTTCAGAAAGAAACTCACACGAGTGAAGTAACTACTTTAAATTTGCTTATGATATAGTCTTGTTCCTATTGATTTAGCCTCAAATGCCAACTCAAGCATTTCGATTAGCCACGTGGGATTAATTGTTAGGCTCTGTTTGGGAGGGATTTAAATTTTTCTACAGTAAATCAATTTTCATTTTCAACCTCACATTCTTCAATAAAATAATATTTTTCATCACATTAATAATTTTTTCTTCTTCTTCAACCCACATTTCTCATCATATCACTATTCAAAATCAATTCTTCCTCCAAAAATCCCTCACAAACAAACTCTTAATTTTGAGCAAAATGTTATATTCTTAACTCTTAGGCTCCGTTTGATAGCAAGTGTGGAAAGAAAATGAATTTCCTGGAAAGTAATTGTCTAAAAATTGTTTTGTTGAGAATTGTTAATTAAGTGTGTTTAATTTGCATAATTTTTTACTGAGAAAATTTTTAAATTTTGTGTTCGAATCTCCATCTTGGGCCTTCCAAAAGTATAGGTCGTTTCAGAGTCGAGCCAAGTCTATGGTGTCGCCAAATAATCTGACAACTATTTTAAATCGTTGTCCGGATTTATTAGGTATCAAAAAACCCAACAGCTACTTGTACATAAAAAATGCATATAATGGATTACATAATATGATGTGGAGGGAAAAAATTGGATAAAAAAGTTGATTGTATTTTAAATTGTCAAATGATAGATTGTCATGTGGTATTATGTAATTCATTATATAAATTTTAATATACATGTAACAAGATCCATATACAATATTTAAGAAATAAGGAATAACTTGATAAAAATTGCTAGCTAATTGATTATTGAAATTTATTTAACTATTTGAATTTGCTAAATTAGTATATTTTCTTTGATCCCAATATATGAATTAACTGAGGTTTAACTATATCCTTCTTCTCTATTTTCTTGATTTACAAATGAGTAAATTGTCAAGATATGGATATGGTGCAAAAATTTAAGTCCTTTTTAAACATAATATATAGAATTTGTGTGGTCTTCTACTCATCTAGATAAAGGCAATAGTAGATTTTGTAAGCGATTTTTGTAATTTATTTTTAAAGAAACTGTGCTACATCATGTAGAGCGTACGGACCCATAACGAGCTTCCAGTTACAAGAAATCCCGAAAATGTAATAATAAATAAAAATAGATCGTTCATGCAGATTTCACAAGCTCAAATGCTAATGACTACAAAGCTAATTGCATGTGGCCGATATTTCCACTAACTTGGAATAAAATGAAGAGATGTGACTGACTAGACATGTTATCCCTAATTTTGCTGAAGCCAAGAATATTTCCTCGAGGAATAAACCTGTATAGTGTTCTCCATTGTTTTTTGTGGAGATAATTGATGAGGATTCCTCTCAATTTTTCTAAGTTCTTTTGCTACATCAATCATAAATGGCCTGTCTTCTTCCTCTGGATCAACACATCTCAAAGCAAGATAAAGAAAAGCTAGTATTTGCTGAATTTCTTCAACTCCTCTGCACTCTTCTAAAATTTTAGGATCCACAATTTGATCTAACTCATCCTTGCCAATGTGTTTAATTACACCGTGTACGAGAGGTGAGAAAACTTCATCATCCATGCTCAAAGTTCGCCGTCCTGTTAATAGTTCTAACAGTAAAACGCCAAAGCTGAATACATCTGTTTTTTGAGTGACAACGCCAGACGATGCATATACAGGGTCTAGGTGCCCAACTGATCCACAAACGATATCTTTAACTTGCATTTCACCCGGAGGAAGAGATATAGAAAGGGAGAAGCTAAACAGTTTGGCAACACCGTGCTCGTCTATGATGATTTTTCTTGGTTTTAGATCCCTAAAAATGATAGGTGTGGAAAATGCAGTATGAAGATAGACAACTACGTTTGCAATGTCATTCGCTATTTTTAATCTATGTTTCCATGGTAATGCACGGTCGGATGCAAAAAGTAGATCAGAAAGAAGTTGGGTCCGACAAAATTTGTATATTAGAGCAGGATACTCGAACTCTAAACAACAACCGATCAACATCAAAACGTTCTTGTGGTGGCTCATTTGTGAGTTAATTGCTACATCACGAATAATACGATGCACAATACTTGAATCGTTCCCTTGAAACTTCTTTACTAAAATTGGTCGATTGTCAAGAAAACCCGTGTACATACTCCCATCAAAGTTGCTAATGTTAAGACTCTCAGCAAAGCCCTTTGTGGCCTTAATGATCTCTTCGGCATTGAAATTACGTATAGGAATCTTATATCTAGCACTGAAAGTAGCAATAAGCTCTTCGAGTAGTGCACCTCCATTTTTCAAGAAATGTGTTTCTGTTTCCTTCTTTCTTGATTTGAATTCTCTTCTCATCAAGGAATCCATTTCCCGGTACACTGTGAAGCACTTTACACACAGGGACTTACATCAGTATATACATAATTCTACAAACAGTACCAGAAGAAAGAACAAACTGCCCGATTAGGGTAAAATGCATATTAATTATTTATAGTGCATGGTTTTAAAATATTTACATGATTTTTAAACGTTAAGAGATAAAATCTCACATCAGATAAAAATGAAAATGAAAATATAGATCAACTTATAAGAGTTTTGACTACTCTTTTTAATAAGCTTAACTTTTAAGATGGAACCCCAAATTTTCATAGATCTTGCTACAGTACATCAATGGTTAGATAATGGGGTTACATAATGTTATATGACATTCTATACCATTAATCAGTTTAAAATATAGTAAATTTTTTCATCCAATCTTTTTTCTCAACGTCATATTATGTACAAGGAATTCTTTTCTCAATAGGGAATTATTCACAGAAACCATACAGGTGGTGCATTTTCTGCCATTATTTGGTCCGATCGATGAAAAATTGCCAATTGTTGTCCTATAAGAATTGTATCCAATCTTTTTTCTCAACATCATATTATGCATAGGGAATTATTCTCAGAAACCATGCAATTGGTGGTGCATTTTCTGCCATTATTGGGTCCAAAACCAATGAAAAATTACCCAGTGTTGTCCTGTAAAAAATTTATCCAATTTTTTCTCAACATCATATTATGCACGGGGAATTATTCACAAAAACCATATAAGTGATGCAGTTTCTGCCATTATTGGGTCCAAAACCAATGGAAAATTGCCAAGTATCATCTTGTAAAAATGTCATCAAGTTTTACATTCAATCTTTTTTATCAACATCATATTATACACAGTGAATTATTGACAAAAACCATACAGATGGTGCATTTTCTGCCATTATTGGGTCCAAAACTAATGAAAAATTGCTAAGTGTTGTCTATAAAAATTCTATCAAGTTTTTGATGTACATGTAGTTTAAATATATTATGTAACCCTTTATGTACAATCTTAATGTACAAATAGCAAACGCAATCTTAATATGGTATCAGAATCCATTAAACTTCAAGAACGATTTAACCCTATTAAAAAAAAAAAAAAAAAATAAGCGCACGAATTTCAAGATTGATTTGCTCAAATAAGCTATTATTTTGTGAGGACACGTTAAAGGGTAAAATTCGACATTAATATCGTTGATCTTTTATGATGGTACCACAAACCTTAATATTCTATAATTGGGTAAATTAGAATTGTTGGTGGTGTCAAAAAATTTTAAAAAAACAGTTAGTTAATTACTCTTTATTTTCAAAACTATAAGTAAGATGGGGCTCAAATTATATTGTGTTATAGACTTACGAACTTTAAAATTTAAAGAAAAAAATGAAATAAAATCTAAAAATCCGTATAACATAGACGGCAAGTTGATTCATTCAACTATTCTTTGTAGATAGAATTGAAAAAGTATCGTGGCAATCAATGAATAAGAACAACGAATAGATTTTACAAATTAAAATGTATTCAAATTATATATTTATAATTTCTGAAAAAATATTTACCTTTTGTGCAATCTTTGCAAGGGAGAGAAAGAATTGCGATGCACTTTCCTTGCTCTCTCTCTCTCTCTCTCTCTCTCTCTCTCTCTCTCTCTCTCTCTCTCTCTCTCCCACCCTCTCTCTCCTCCCCTTCCCTCTCTCTGTAAATCTCCCATCTACCCACCGTCGACCAACGCCCACCGTCGACCACCGCGCACTGTCGAAGACCACCACCCACATCAACAATCCACTACTGAACTCACGGCTATTATCGAGGCAGAATCGCAGCAGCCCGATCTGAAATTTTCTCCTTCAAGACCACCATTTGGAGCACTGTTGGGTGGTGGCTCCTTGCTGCTGTGACGCTACCATGAGACGTTTTCACAGCAGNATTCAACCTATGTAAATGTATATTTAAAAAAAAAAAAATTTAAATGTACATTTTTAAAATTTTTGTAAATATATACTTTTAAACTTTTTAAAATTCATTGGTCAGATCCCGATTCAATCTTTTGACCTCTGACTTAGCTCTCTTTCAGGTCGAACAGGGGCTAAATTGGAGGGAAATAATACATTAATTTGGCCTTGCACCAATTGATAAAGTGAAAGGAAATCTAACTGGACTTGGACTCTTTTGGAATAAAGAAAGCGGAAGTAGAAGGATGCCGGCAGATTAGTAGAAGGAAAGGAATTTGATTTCTTCTTGGATTCCTAATTCCACTGCAAAAGCTGGGGCAAATTAGGAAATGAGGGAAGAATTGGACAACATTGGCGGCTAATTAAAATATATATACGCGCATAGACGGCTGGAGAAAACATATGATACGCACATGGACGGACATGCCGGAGCGAGAGAAAAAAATTTAAGAATTTTGTACGAAAATTTATCAATAGTTGAGAAAGGAATTTGAAAATTAATCACGTTTAGTCAATTAATTGGTGTTGTCGTTCCCATTTTATTTGTTTAAAGTCATTGATATAAGGACATTTTGGATCCTAGTACACTTTTCATCATCATATTTTTATAAAATTTGCATTTAGTCATAATTTTGCATTTATTTTAGTTAAGTTAGGTCTTCCATTCATAAGTAGATTTTTTTAATTTATAGGAAAAATTTCAAATTTTAATTGTTTCGATTAAGGATAAGTTGCATCGAACTTGAATTGGTACAATCTATGTGGAACAATACTTGGACTCAAAATTCATTGTACTACTTGTTGACGAATCGTGCACTTATAGAATTTTAAATGAAGAATATTTTTGTAACGTCATAGATTTTGAAATTACTGAAATCTAAAATACCGCACGATTAATTTAAGAATGTTATAGATGAGTATATGCTTAATAGTCAATACATTGATTATAGTCAATTAATTAATATGATTTAAGAGTGCGTTTGATTGACTTTATTTTTATGAAAAATGTTATTTTTCCATGCAAATTCTTATTTTTGAAGTGTTTAACTGACAAATTTTCACATGAAAAATATTTTTCAATTTTTGATCATGTAATCATATTATTCTCAAAAATAAGGAACATTTTCGTTAGAGAGGAGTAGTTTTTATTTTCCAAGTAATTCACTCTATCTTTTTCTATTATCTGCTCATCAATAAAAAAAATAGACAAATATAATATTTTAAAGGTTGAAAATTAAATCAATCAATTACATTTAATTAATAATTTTCATACAAATAAATTCTAGACAATTGAACTGCCTAAAGTTTATTTTCTATCCATGTAAATTTCATACTTGCAATCAAATGCAATCTAATTGAATAGTTATTATGAATTTAGGTGGATGGTAGAAAGTGAAATTTAAAAAATTACTATCATCCTCAAAACCATAACAAGTGCCATCAGATATTACTCATTCCGTTCCACTTATATGGTTAGTTTTATTTTTCACACGGATTACGAAATTTTATTTAATATTATTGAAAAAAGCAATTTTTGCAAAAATTTTTTTGTAAATTACCATTATTTAATTATCAACAATTAATAGTAAATTATTGTTGAAAATAGTAAAGAAATTGAAAGTAGTAAATGTGTGTATGTATATGGATCATTTCAATAAGTGTGTATTTTTATATTTGTACAATTTTAAGATTAAGTGGGAAAATTTTGTTATAACCAGGCAAATTAAATATTAGTATATTTGTAAATGAACAAAACAAAATATTCTCTATAAATAAATATAACTATATAATAGAAATAAGAAAATAAGGAAAATCGGTTTATATAAATGGAACGAATGGAGTAGTATTTTAATCGCTTTAATGTGTGTGTTATATATCATTTTATTGTAAAAGGTTAAGAAGATTAATCAGTATATTCAAAAGATTCTCTGATCTTCTATAAGAGTCCGTTTGATTGCAATGGTGAAAAATAGGTGGAAAGAAAATGAATTTTATGGAAAGTAATTGTCTAGAAAATATTTTATAGGGAATTGTTAATTAAGTGTGTCTGATAGTTATAATTTTTCATTCGAAAATTTTTTTAATTTTGTGTTCGTTTGGCTTTGTTTTACATAGAAATTGTCTATTAAAGTGATAATTTTTTTCACAATTGATCATAAAATTTGTTTCCATTGCCAAATAGTAAAAAAAAAAAAATTCCTAAAAAAATTCCTAAAAAAAATCATTTTTTTTATCAAACTTTAGTGTTCGTTTGACGTTGTTTTACATGAAAATTATCCATTAAAGTGAAATTTTTTTACAACTAGTTATGAAATTTGTTTACATTGCAAAAAAAAATAAAAATTAAAAAAAACACATGGAAACCATTTTCCCACCTAAATGGTGGGAAAAAGAATTCAAGGAAAAGTTAGAAATTGTCATCATGTGAGAGAAAGTGGCAATTCCAATTGCCAAGTAAAAACATGCTATCAAACACCAAAAAAACATGAAAAATCAACCCTATCAAACACACCCTTAATTTTCGAATTCGAAAAGTTGCAGATAAACAAAGATAAATAACACATTTCCCTTTTCCCTTGACAACCATATTTCCTATTAATATATCTTTATTGTTACATTGAAAACTCCAATATCACAAGTTATTGCTGAAGAAAAGCAAGAATGCTGGATGAAGAGAGAGTGATTTATTTCTCATGAGGTTGGAGGCGAACCGGAAGGCCATGCTCTGGCGTGGGAGAAGCATAGAAAATTATCTTCTCATTCGGGATTGCCTTTTCAAGTTTGAACCTTCTCACCACATTATGCATAAAAACAAGTACTTCAAGCCGAGCATACTCTTTTCCGGGGCACATTCGTGGTCCTCCCCCGAATGGCACGAATGTGTAAGGTGCCGGTCCACTTCCCTCGAATCTTGAAGGATCGAACTTTTCAGGATTAGGGAAGAACTTTGGATTCTTGTGTGTTGTATGCACGGTCCAAAATGTCTACAAAAATGATTATTATTAGTATCAAATGAAGTCGAAATTCATAAACTCTTCTCAAGAATTAACTAATGCTTGTGTTCATATAGTTATATACTATACCTTCCATCCTTTAGGGATAGTAAAACCTGCATAGGTGAAGTCAGTCGTGGTTTCGCGAAAAGCTCCTTGAGCTGGAGGTGTTAACCGGAGTGATTCGCGTGCCACATTCCATGAATACTTCATCTTCTCAATATCCTCCCATGTTAAAAGCTCATCTGGGCCTTTAGATTTTGCAATCTCCATTTGTTCTGTAAAATTGTAAGATGAGGCTTGCGTCATTTCAATATAAAAATAAATTTATCTAGACTCGAGAGGTACGTTGGCACTTTACTTTCTGATTTTTGTCAATAAATTACCTTTGAAAACACCATTATATATATGGGGAAGTTCTGCCAAGTAATTCATGACAGCAGTGACAGCAGAGCTAGTAGTTTCGAAACTTGCCACTAGCAAACCTATTATGTTGTTCGAAATCTCCATTTCGCTCAAGAACTTATCATCTTCGTCTTTAACGAGCAACATACACGACAATAAGTCTCGACCCTCAGTCTCATTGTTCGCAATTATCTCCTTTCTCCTCTTCTTGATGATTTTCATAAGCTCATCCCGCACCATTTTTCCTCCTTTGATTGCACGGTTATAAGCAGTGCCGGGCAAATCAATAGGCACGGAGAACATTCCATTAGTCACGAGGGTGAAGGGATCGGCTAGCCTCTTTATGTGCTCGGGATCGGTTATACTCAAAAACAATTTACACGCCAAGGCGAATGTGTATGTTTTCGACAAAGGGAAAACTTTCACCACTCCATTCGCGGTCCAGTCAGCATCCAAGTGTTCACGAGCAAGTGCATCCATCACTGGTATATATTTCTTTAGAGCCTCGGGCTTGAGAATGTCGTGGTGAAAGCTACGTTTAAGAGCCGATACTTCCTTCAAATTACTTTCCACGAATTCCGGAAAAAGCAAGGCCTTCTTCATTGATTGTGGCCACCATGAAGTAAGAAGTTTGTTCTCATTAGTGAAAAGGAACTTGTTACCTTGTGAGCCACAAAATATCGCCATTTTCTCTCCCAGCAACGAGGTTCGAAAAACCTCCTGCGAGTACCTCTCCATCCTATCTTTAACAAACTTCTGAGGACCTAATAAGGCGAACTCCATATTTTCTCCCAACATTGGCCATCCCTTTGAACCCGGAGGCACTTTTGAGTCCTCCGAACCGCGTTTATGAAAGACGAGATAGAGGGAGAGAGGGAGGAGTACAAGAGGAAGAACATATGCTAAGAAGGCATCCATTTTTCTCTAGCAATTTATCTGTTGTAGGTTTATAAGTAGAAGTGGGTATGCCTTAAACCAGTGTAGGAAAGAGTATATATAGAATTTTTGGCATGAATTCTGAGGCAAAATTTGAAAATGACTTGGGGACAAAATATAGTATATATTGAGATGGATTGCATAAAATTTGAAAATTGGGAATGAAGGGTTACACTGTACAGTGAGTCTTGACAAAATGTGGTATTCTAGTGAATGAAAATATTGCTTTCTTGGGAATTTTTTTTCTTTTTTTATTTTTCTAGTGTCCTCATATTTGTCTTGTTCAAATGTAAAGCAAAGAGAGAACAACATCCAATGGAATATGGAAATAGTATCTCTCTAATTAAAAGAAACGATCTTTTTAGTTGGTTCCTATTCGAGAGTCTGACTGATTTTCCTTCTTGAGTAGTACTTTATTTTCAAACATTTACAATAATTCCTCTTTGTTTGAAAACGAAATAATAAAATAAACCCAAACCAGCATTTTTTTTTACTCTAGTTATTGTACATAATTAGTGCTAAGCTCGTCTTACAAAGTTTTAAGAATAATGTTATATGCACATCATCTCTTATAATATGGTTGGCATTCTCTATTGAGAAAAGCCATTTGTACAAAAAACTTCTTCACAGATGTCTTACCGACCCTCACATGAGGTGGGTCCCAATGTGGGATCCACCTCATTAGAAATTGATTCAAAAATTTTCCCGCCCTCCCTTGTGCGTAATCTATAAAACTTCTGTGAAGCTACACTTCTGTCTCTATTATGTGGAGAAAATATGTGCAGTGATGTGATGGATAAGTGAAATGAATTAGTGATATATAGAGGATGATTTTTGCAGCAAGAGTGCACCCCATCAACGGAATTGAGATCTGCTGTTCATTTTTATTGTTTAATTTGATGTCCGCCCAATTACAAATTAACATATCATGAAAAATTAAAATTGATGTTAAGGTTGGAAAATTAAAGTTTAAAATTGATGAGAACTTTTATTTTTCATATTGTGTCAATTTGTAATTGGGTGAACAACAAATTGAACTGTATAAATGGACAACAGATCTGAACTCCATCAATGAGTTTTAAGTCGATATTATCAGAGAAAATTGTAGAGAAACTGTCCATATAAATACTTACTTATTTTTGAAATACGATTCAAATATGAACATATTGAACAAAAAGCTTTGGACGGGTTAGGAAAATTTGGGATAGGGATGGAAAAATTTCTAAATGGCAAACAGGATGGCAACAAGGAATATAATCCACGGTCCCAAATTATTGCGCTCCAGATCTTTTTGTTTTACTTTTATATTTTTCAATTTTAATCGTATTTTAAAAGATAATAAAATAGTGTTAATAAATAAATAATTAATTGAACAATGTGTTAATTGAAAATATTTTAACCCCCTTCCTGTCTCTCGAAAAGTCAGACTGAGGGGAAACAAGAAGCATCGTCCCGCCCAGCCCTTCTCCTGCCGTACCCCATTGCCATCTCTAATTTGGTGCGAGAATCATACTTTTTGTTCCCACTCTATTTAGGACGGGCAAATGCAGGATGGGATGAAAGTTAAAGTATTTTGACATCCCTATTTTACATTTTCATTTTCATTTTCAATAAATTTTTACTTTTTTCCGTTTATATTTTTATTTAGTTTAAGATAATGGTGATAACATCTTTGAAATGAAAAATATGATGATTAATAACACAATAAACCAATCATGTTTTGATACAAATCGAATTTTTTGCTATCTATTTCCACAAGAGTTGAAACCGGACCGTTTACTACCTTGTTTATATATATATATCTTTCTATATATAAAAAGTGCCTATTTAACGGAATTTGTTGGTTTAACGGAAAAATTAACAGAATTTGCTGTTTTAACGAATTATGTAACGGAATTTCTTGTTTTAAACAGGCAACTGCACCTTCCTTCAATATTTTTATTATAACTTTGTATTCTGATATCCGATTGAGGCGATTCAAAATGAGTTGGAAAGCTAACTCATCTGACTACAATTTTGATTCAGACATCATTCTCCAATTCGATCACTTTCTATGCCAAAAATATGTCTCAATATAACGGATTATGTAACAGAATTTCTTGTTTTAAACA